AGGCCCGAAATCTATCAACACCATACCAATGTTCTCCGGCTGCCTCCCTCTTCTCGGCTTCAAAACTCCAGTGCCGTATTGTTATGTTGAGCACGATCTCTCCACTCTGCCTAGCGTATCATTCAGCTTGGCCGCTGCAGAAAAGCTACTCTATTCTTCCCTTCCGAAGCTCTCATCTACTATCCTCAAGCCACCAGTTTGCGAAACCAAAACTAACACGCTCTAACCGTGATGAGTGCGAGTCCAAAAATCCGAAACTTCCAGTACATGGTCGCGCCTGTCCTTCCGCCTGCTGGGCCGATCGGAAATATACCGGTCTGCGACGTCATGAGTAGCACCGGCTCTTCCACTCTTGCTACTTTACTTTCGTCTCTTGGAAGTATAAGAATTTGATAGCATCTGTCTGGATGATCTTCTCTTCCTTCTGCAACTTATTTGCCTACAAAAGACCAAATTCAGATTCATAAAAGGTTATGAGTGTGCAATCAAAAGGGTCAAGTGCAGCTGTCATGTTCTGGTCTGCCTCGCCTTCCGAATTCAAAATGTTCGCCAAATTCTTCATGGCTAGCGAGATCCCGCGCTCTTCTTCGCACGTCACGACACGGCACTTGCATATAAACACCTCTTTCTTTCGGAGGATTCCTGCCTCTCATTCTCCACCGAGCACTATTCGAGATATACCAAAAAGCAATTCCGCCCTTATGATGAGTGTGCGCCAAAGTATAAAGACGAAAATCTCATGTTCTCGCCTGTCGTTCTCTTTCATGTCCAAAGCTATTACTGAAAAGCATCATGGTCGGCACGATCTTTCGTCCTGCAGACTTGCTTGATACGCATCAAAAGCGCAGAGGTCCAAATTCATGGCCTGAGAGGCAGAGTATCTCGCCGTGCCATGGTGCTGCCGCTGGGCATAAATACACCCCTTTCGCGAGCTTCGTTCTTACTTCCTATCCTCTATCCTCTGCTCCGCGTTATTAGAAAAGTAAACGGGAAAAGAAATGGGTGTACACCAAAATCCAAGTCCTAACTACCTATGTCCTCTTCTCCCGTTCCTGCTCACAGTATCCATCTTAAACCTGGGCAGAGGCTCTCCATGGTCTTTCCTGGTCTTTTACAGAAACTTGTTACACAACTACACCACAGCTGAACGCAATCATCTTTCAAAATTCGCCTCACAGCTTCTACTTCCTACCCTCAGCCGCAAGGTCTGCCACACCAAAAAATGCGACGTCGTCTTGGATGAGTGCGCAACAAAAGAAAAGACTGGGCTTATGATGTCTGCATTTCTCTTCCCGCTTCTAAAATGTACGCAAGCACCGGAAAGCCGCTATTTGTACTCTACATGGCTGCCCAAATTGGTCCCACAATCATGTCATACTGCAACGCTACGTATAGACATAAAAACCGCCCACCTGTCGCTTCAAGTCCTTTACTTCACACACTCGACCTTTCTGTCCAAATCACTCCAAAATAGCTATTTGAGAATGTGATGAAGCTTGCTCCAAAACATCTGCGACCATCACCGATGTCTTCGCCTGCCTGTCTTCCCGCGAAGCGCAAAACACCACACATCAAGACCAATGGTTATCACAACAATCTCACCCTTTGTTATGACTATGAAACTCCAGTCGCTTAAAAATGCCTCTCACTATCGCCGATGTTCTCTTCCTCCGTCAAACTCACCAGCTAGTTTACAAGACTAAAAAGGCTTCTTGAGGAATGTATCGGTGCGCATCGAAAATTCCTGGACAACTCGGACATGTTCTCGCTCGCCTCTCATATCGCAAGGTTTCACAATAACAAAAGCTTTCCTTTGATGGCCGTCACATGTTTCCAAGCTGGTTCCATGAATCTAATGTCCCGCTTGCGAAATTGGATATCTAAATACTTATGTACTCGCTAGTCCTGTTCTCCAGGGGCCCTTGAGAGGTGTATTCATACCGCCTGGCGGGTACGAGGCTGTCTGGGTTCTTATATGAAGCTGCTCTTGGTGCTGTGACTGTCGGATTGATACTGATCTTGGGGTGCAAAGCGATATGGAGAAGAACATGTATTTAGCTACTGAACGTTGAACACGTGCTCATTCACGTCTGCTATCCATTCGTTTCTCGTTCTCTCTCATTTCTAGTTCTTCATCCCATCATTTACGTCCCAAAATTCGGTGGCTAGTGGTGTCCAAGGCACGCACTTCTTTCCGCTGCAGGTATTGGTCTGGCAAACCCGGCATATCTTATTCGTAGATGTATGCAATAGCGCACAGTACTGCGAAAATATGATCGTCGCGCGACCAGCTACTACCATATTACTTCATCCGTTGGTTCATTCCTAAGCAAGATTGTTTGTTTCGGAAGGTAGCCTGCCATATTCTCCCCCTTGACTGGTACCGCCACGATCTCCGTATGGGTGCGGCCACGGGATGGTAAGGTCATCAGTCCGCGCACGTAGTAGTAATGAGGCCACTGATGACCCTGGAAGTCCTTCGCCATGTCGAGATATCCCGGAGTCACGGTAGGGCTGTTAGCATAAATCTCGATCGGCGAACTTCGCGCTGCTAGGTATTGTAGGACCTCGGTTGCCAACTGGGAGTATTGTACCGCACGTTCAACTGGATTGCCGAATTCAACATTCGACCACGTTGCTAGCAAATGCGTAAGGCGCAAGCTGCGAAGCAAAGGAAAGCGGGCTATTACGTCCAAAGCCTTTGCAAAGTTTTGTTCCTGAGGAAACAGATATGGTACACCACATGTCATAGAGCGGATATCGATAGCAGCGACATGAACACCGAGCTCCTGTATCTTTGGACATCCAACTAGAAGTGTCTCGAGCTCGGTAGCCGTGTAGCAGTGGTTCCTGGCTTCGGATAGCGGAAGGCGACTTGGACGATACAACGGATCCAAGTGGAGAAGTCGTAGAGTTTGCCCGTGTCGACACATCTTCTCCACATTGACATGCTGAGGATTTCGGGTCGCGACAAAGAGCCTCTCCAGGCCTGAAAAGCATCCGATAAACTGATTTAAGAACTTAAATAAATCTGGTTCTTCGAAAGATTGTGTAAAACACAGCGACTTCAAAGCGAAGCTGTCCAGTGCGGAGTATTCGATGCTCAAATGCTCTAAAAAGGACGAGACATTGATACAGTAGCTTATCTCAAGATCTGTAAGAGACTGGAGATCAGTGATCTTCCCCAGATGGTAAGGGCCGTCGAATAGGTTGAGGTACGACAGGCGAAGGTGTCGAAGCCTCAGAGGTATGAAAGTACTAGGACATTTCCACCTTTTAAGAGAAGCCAAGTCTCGTAATTCGGGATTGGATGGCTTGAACCCGTTGTAGTGTGCAATATTAAGGGTCTCCAAAGCTGGTGTATTGAGAAGCCATGCATTAAAGTCGTCATCTTTGGCGGGTGTCATGGTCAACTTTCGAAGCTTATTCAAGTTGCCTACAAGGAAGCGAGAGTCCGGACGGCTATGCTGCAGTCCAGGGTGCTGATATGTAAGCTCTTCAATCAGATTTTGAGAGCGAATCAAAAGGCCCAAGATCCTGGGGTTCCCAGTCGGTAGCTCCACGGTGCGTAATGTGTTTTGGGCCAGGACAGCGATCAGCTGCAGCACCTTCTCGGAGACATCAAAAGACGTAATCTTAAGATTCTTGACGTTATCGAGAAATCCATTAGGTGGAGATAACAGTAGCGCGTCGAAATCGCGACCTCGTTCCTGGAGATGGGAGCTGAAAGTCTTCCAGAGCACAGTCGAACTAGACTTTCGCCATCGTTTGTTGGCCAGTCCAAGGTTCTTGAGCGCTTGGCCTGGCAACTGCGTCTGCATTAGCATCATGACAGTATTAGATCTTGCTGATGGTTTACCAGCTCGCACACCTGGAGCCGCAGCTCCTGTGGTATCTTTCCAATGTAACCTTGCACACTAGGTACTGGGGCCATGTCGAGTTCGCCCGATGCTTGCGGCATTTTGGTTGATGAATTCGCTGGTTATGGTGCAGTCCAGGGTAAAGTCGTGTGGTCAGTTGATCAGTCGATGAGTAGTAGAGCGGGAGCAGGTAAGGTTCTTATTCGATAGATGCGCGCGTTGGTCCCTGCACCAGCAGGAGCGTGGAATGAGTGAAATTGAAGTCAGCCACCAAAGGCTGCGGCGTGAGCAACGTGAGTAAGTTTCCATTCACTGAAGACCTGAATAATCAGTTGTAGATTGCATACCGAAGTTAGTGAAGGCGATGCAGTCACTGCTTCATGTACCTAGGTAGTTCCAGTCGGGCCCAAGGTAAAGCGCGTTCGAAAGACATCATGATGGAAGTGCTTGCCAGCACTAGATCAAGCGACCAATATCTGGTCAGATCATTCCTCAATGAGCCCCATGCATAGCTGTTGGAAACACCACGGCCCATCTCCTGGTAGCGTTCGAGGTATGTCAGGTCAACAGGTACGGACGGCTGAACGAGACGCGTCGCAAGATAAAAGGATCACGCGACGGTGGTAGACTAAGAGACGCCATATAGATGAGCTAAGACGCGTCCATAGATCTGCGCGATCTGATGAGAGCTGGCGGAGACTGTATGGTGCGAGGTGATGGTGGAAGAACAGGCGTCTCGGGGGCTCGGAGATTGCCTTCAGCAAGCACCCGTGCGCCACGCTATCCACATCTGGAAAAGCATGACGCGTGATGTCATTGCGAGCTGTGCGCCCAAAACTCATCACGACACTTCGCGCATTACGTAGGAGTTGACTCTGGGGGGACTGGACATGGAAGTTGTGGTATTGAAGTGTTTTGGTGCTATTCTCCTAGCTATACGGCATCACGCGGTATCCGCTACACTCTAGAAGCAGACATGATGCGCCCATAATCTCCCGAACACCAGCTGCGCGACAAAGACACGCATGTTTCCTGACAGGTATCAAGCACCCCAGGCCAAAGGATGGATTAACTTCCATCTCGTGGCTTCGCCACCATAACAGACCGTGAATATCCTCTGGCCACCTTGTCTCCAGCCGCTTACTTCCAGAAAAGCATAGCCTCATGTTGGCCTTGTTCTAGCATGGGAACGGCAACAGCGCGCGAAACCTGCTTTCCTCCGCGCATTGCTACTGTCACTATTCCGCGACGGTAGGAGAAGTCGGGAAATGAATGCCCATTCATGTCCATCCAGCCCGCCGACGAGTATGTATCTTCTGGCCAGTAGCCCGGACCAAAGGCAAGAAGCTCGATGGGCGATTCGTGGTCTGCAAAAAACTCCATGATGACATTGGCTACTTGTTGATAGCGGAGTTGATGTCTGTGGATGATGTAGTCATATGTCTCCTCCTGCTCCTCATTTTGTGCTTGAAACAAAGGATAGGTAATACGGAGATTGCGGAGGTTGCGTAGTTGGGTGAGAGGTAGCTATGATGAAGTTAGTGTGACATTCACGACCAACGTTGGCGTCATCGCGAAACACTTACTAAGAGATCGGAAACTTTCACATCCTCCTGTAAACCTCGTCCGGTATCGTGCACATTGAAAGTGTCATATGCAGTATAGTCTCCAAGGTCCCAATCAACAAGATTAAGACTGAGCGCTTCAATGCGCGGACAACTTGCCACGAGCCTCTCAAGCTCTTGAGGCGTATACCGTTCGACATTTCCCGTATAGAGACCTCTGTACTCGTAAAGATTGGGGAAGTGATCAATGTGCAGGTAGCGCAGAGATTCTCCGTGGCGGCAGATGCTACCAATAGACGGGCGCATGGCCTTGATTGTGGTGATGCAGAGAGTCTCGAGTGTCGGAACGGCTTCAAGAAAGTATTCGATTTCGGTGTCAAATGGCTTGTCTCCTTCCAGACCGTTCAGTTGTCGGAAGTTGACTGAGTTGAGGGCGGGCTTATCGCATTTGAGAAACTCATCGGCGAGGCACTGTACGGTGCGCGGCATATCCGAACAATTACTCAGAAGCAGACTTTGTAGGCTACTCAGGTTGGTCAAACCGCCGAAGCAATCTTCTTGCTCTTCGATGAACGCAGAGTGAATCTCGATATTGCGTAGATCCAAGAGCACTTCCAGTTTTGGCATACTCCAGGAGTAGGGTCTTCCGTTGTGTGCATCTTGAGCCTTGGGTTTGATTGCGAGTCTTCGGAGAACGGGAGTGAAAGCTAAACATTTGGCATCGGCATGGCGATCTGCTTCTTGTGGTAGAAGTGTCAAATCTTCCAGCTTATCTAGATTTCCTGTAAGTAGCTTGTCGTGCAGGGTCGTTGAGGGAAACGAAAGTTTCGACAGCTGAGATTGAGTCTTGAGTATAAGACCAACCGTACGTTCGTCAAAGTTTAGCGTGGTCGTAAACGCTCGAAGGCTGTTTTGCGGTAGCGCGCACAGAAGCTGTACAAAACGACTTGAGATTTCCGTAGTGGTGGGGAAATGTTCTTCCCCGTAATTGCATCCGTCAATATCCAGCTCCTTGATCATGTCCAAAATATCATCTGAACGAAGTAGCGCATCGATTGTGCTGCCTTCATCGAGATTGGTCGTGAAGGTGTTCCAAAGTACTGTGCCAGCTACAGAACTCCATGCTTTGTTGACCAGACGAGCATGTACTTGATCATCGACCGGGAGCTATAGTTCCATTAGCAATTGCACGTCACATCGCACAAAGATAGGAAGAGTGTATAACTGCTTACAAGTTCGCAAATCATATGTCTAAGCTCAGTCGGCAAGACCTTGGTATGATCGAGCATGGCAGGCGCCGTCATTGTAGGAGCTTGATACGCTTGTCGGTTGCGCGGTTCGCAAGGAAATGTATGGTTGAAAGTAGCCCAGTTATGTGAGTAGAGAAGATCAGTGCTCTGGCGGTAGAGAAGTCAGGGAGGGGAACGAGCAACGCTACTTCTACATTTGCAGGTCCGTTTTCACCGGGCAACGGTCGTGCACAGGTCTGCTGTTGAACGCATTGACTTCTTGCTCCGGTGAAAGTACCGGGTCTTGGCAGACAACGAAATCCGTTCTACAGGAGGGCGCTTCGAGCGCCCTTTGTCGAAGACCTTGGCCAGGACACTACGCGGCGTTGAAGACCATACTTCGAGATTCCAGCAGTGAAGTTATCAATACCGTTGTCTCTAACTGCTGTACTTTGTGACCAGTGTCAAGATTTATGGATGCTGCCCGGTTTTGATCTCGAATGGTGAAAGGAAAGATCGATTAGGAGCTGTGGCAACACTGGACGCGCTGGCACCAGGCGCTCACTTCACAATCTTCCATCGATAGTACGGGTCTAAACTGCAGAAAAAACGTGCGCATTCCAGATGTAATGAAACTGTTGATAGAATTGCGATACCTTGCTTCGTTCAAAAGCCTATCAGCATGCTCCTCATTCAAGTCTTGCTGTAAACCAGGAAGTGGTCAAATAGCTGTCGGCCGTGAAAGTATCCTCCGTGTACCGTAGTCGGCGTCTGCGTCACAACCTCGGTAAAATCATTTCCCAGGAGCGCTTTGACTTGCGCACGAACTTGGTCGAGAAGTTCAATATCCAGTATCTCGCCAGCAAAGTCATCAAGATGGAAAAGCTCAATTTCGAGCGTTTGTAGGTCCGTGCACATCCGGATGAATTGACTGTAGGGGAAATGCACTTTGACACGAAATTCCACCCCGCGGTACTGCATCTCGTCGCGTCTGAAGTCGATATCGGGGATTGCAAGAGCGACTTTGAGCGAGTGGGTTTGCGGGGCATTTCCTACGTGGTTAACGAGCAATCGAAGCCACTCTTTCTCATCGAATGCGAATGTAACATGTATTATACCATCGTCTCGGTGAATGATGGAGAACGTATGAACTGGACGTTGGAATGGTAGGCGAGCGAATGATATGGAGTTGGCAAATTTGGGGCTCATAATCATCGTGTCTGGTGGATCTAGTTGATGGTGGTCAATGTCGTCATAGTCTATTGGCCAGAGGTTCCAATGCGCCTGTTTCCGGAATACATCAAAAGCTTCGTCTAGGAATATTTTACTCGTCAACAGCCAGATAGGTAAACAGGCGTGTTGACCTGGACGCCACGGAGGTTGTTCGTATCTGGCTGCGTACCAAGCGTCCCGAGTTGTCAAGTCGCTTTCATCCAAGACCGTTCCATCGTAGTAAGCAAGGACACCAGTCTGAGTCTGTGTATGATAGGCTGCGATGCGGTTGTTCATCTTCCAGAGCTCGTCATAGACCATGTTGCGAAGTTCTGGCGGAAGTTCGAAGAACTCCAATATCATAACCGGGCTTGTCGCGCGAGCTCGAGCTTTGAGATTCGCTCTTTTGCCTCTTTTCCCTTTGCTCTTCGCCATCTGAAAATTCTAGCGGAAGTTGTACGTTGACTGAGAGACGTTGGAATAGGCTACTATGGCGAGGTAACTGCAACCGCTTTATACAGGTCATGGGAGGTTTGGCGCCAACTCAGCAAGCGGACAAACCTTGAAACGTATAGTCACGAGGACCGCAGGCCGGATGAGATGTGTCTAACACGTTCTGGGCCGTGTTTGTCCCCTTGACATCCTTGCATGTGTTCTCAGCACGATGTCCACGTTTCGTGACCGAGCGCATTGCATGTCTGAAGCATCGGGCAAACCATCGACGCAGCACCAGACCATACTCTGGAAGCCTTATACTTGCTTCTCTATTTCTCCTGGTATGTATTGCGGATCGTGAGGCGCAAGTGATATACGTGGTTGGGGGTCATCGGACTGCGAAGGACGAGTAGAGGGGCCGAGGCTTCCGAGGTTGTTACTGCGATGCGACATTAACCTTCACCAATGCAAGTTGCAATGATACACCACCCGCAAGCTATGTTGCTACAAGACTTCTCCGACCTTCTTGTACGATGCATGCCTTCATTAAGGCCCCGTGTGTCTTCAGTCCATTCCAGGGCTAAGACGACTGGTGTTGAGATGATGCCCAGGTATCGTGATGCGCGATAAGGATCTACGTGGTTGTGTTGCGCGTAGAGATTGGTGCATGTTGTCCACAAAGCGTGTACACCACGGTTCGCAGGAATGCGCGTGTAGGCTGCGTGTAGGTGTGAAGTACCTTGGAAGGTTGAGTAAGGGTGTGGCTAGATGTGAGAGATCGCTGGGCGCGCGAGCAGCCCAGGATGCTAAGTGCCAGATTACATAAGACGGGAAGATCGTCATCTCGCCACCTCACTTCTCCCACCAAAGGTTCTTCGTGAGCGCTGCTTACAAGTACTTCAATTCTTCTGGTCTCCTCACAGTAAGTTAAAGCAAACACTTTCTGATATATAGACCCTGAGTAGGTATCACAAGGTACGATCAGTCCATGATCTGGGAATCTCCAGACCTTCTAAGCTCATGCTGAATAAGTCTGCAGACGTTCGCGCGTAATCATCGTACCCATTATGCCCACAATCATGCACCCAGTAGCCGGATCCACGACATGTGCGACGAGAACTAAGAATGGAACCTGGGTCCGCGATAGATCGCGTAGTCTAATGCGTTCCCTTTGAAGCATGTAATGTCCAGGGTAAGATCAGGGTGTAGCATCATCATCTTTCAAGATACTGTCTAGGTATCGACAATTTGCTGCGCAGCCTTCTCAGATAAGTAAGCACTCGAATCGACATATCGTTGCATTGGATGTGAGCAGTCGCTCCTGCGATTCCAGGAAGAGTTGGATAGCCCCACCAGTAATCTGTTCCGCCACAATCTCGACCCCACAGTCCAAAAATTCTCATTGCAGTCTCTCGCCGGCCATCACCCTCCAACTGCGCTATGGATTTAAAGGCCTGCTACCTCGTTCGCGTCGCATGACGGCGATATATTTGGATAAAATGCTCACTCTTTCATCAAAACAACAATCTTCAATAGTATAGTGGTCAGTATTTCCGCTTGTCATCTCGGCCTTCTGGCTCTTTGACAATTACGCGGGAGACCTGGGTTCAATTCCCAGTTGGAGAGCTTTCAGTCAACTTTCTTTTTGCCGTTTTTTCCGCCCATCCTCTTTCACTCTGAGCTCGCGGTCATGACACAGTTCCATACAGCAGCCCTTTCTTTTTGCAAAACTACATGGGATAGAAATCTATCAGACTATGGTTAGGCGGCTACTCTCATGCTACGATGCTTCCACTTGGAGCGCGCTCGTGTGCGTCAAGCCTTTTCGCATTGGGATAGTGAAAATCACCTGCACCGCTCTCACGGTGATATCGCACTACCGAGCCTTGGCATTGCGCTTGGTCGTTCAACCGCACTCTCCGTTTCTCACGACTGCATACTTTCGATAGCCCAAAATATCGCGGACACCTCGCGGTCCACCCACCCTGAAGCCTACATTGACGCCAGAGATTCAGCTTTACTTGTTTAATCCTAGTGTAGTCTGCAGACCTGTTCAGGCTTGTACCAGACATGGCGACGGATCACATTGGCCGACTGCCCGCGGAGCTGAAATGCGCAGTCGTGCGCTATCTGGTCCTCAAGGATCGGCAAGCGGTCTCGCTCATAAACAGGGATTGGGCCGTCGTCGCGATGCCCATTATGTGGGAGACTTTTACCACGGACCTACTCGTCAAGACTGGCCCGGGCTCACGAAATGTGCGCGGTTTAGCATCCCCCTCCTCGAACATCGTCAAGCATGTCCGCAGGATCAACCTTCTGGACCGACCGAACGCGTTCAAGGAAGCAGACCAACTGCCACAATTGCTGGCCGCTATCCCTCGCGGCCAACTAACGGGCTTCAAGAGCAGAAGTGGGGTGCCTTTCAGTACGCTCGAGCTCCTACTGCAGATACACCCGAGACTCGAACAGTTTGACATCCCTGGTCTTCAGATGTCGGGGATATTACAATCGGCGTGGACCGGTTCATCCTTATCAGGACTCACCCGTATGGACGTCTCTGTAAACACTCCGACCCCACGAGACTTCCAGGAGCTATGGGTGCGATGTCCAAAGCTGACGCACATTCATATGATGCGGAGCGAAACTGTCACGTCGACGTCAATCAGCTTGCAAGAAGGTCATTTCGAGGTCGATACAACATCTGCAGTCTCACAAGATGGATCAGACACAACGCAGTCGGACATGGTCAGCCTTCAACTAAGCAGCCTTTATATCAGTGCTCTTATGCTCCCTGCGACTTTTAGCACCATGTTCCAGCGGATAGACATTTTTGCCCTCACCGAGCTCGTCCTTGTTGATACCGGACGCGTTGCTGAGCTGCTGGAAGCTATGTGCTTTGAATTCCAGAAGCGAGAGACCTCTCTGAGGAAGCTGCGACTTCTCCTGATGAATGAGGACGCGTCAAATGACATTCGCTCCCAGCTAGAGTTGTTTCTACTCTCTTTCCACGGACTGAGCCAGCTACATTACCAGTGCGACAACTGCGACAAGATCGACATTGATGGCATCATCAACCACGGGGAGACACTCACGGACCTACTCGTCGTCAACGGAGGTGTCCACCGACAAGATGCCACCGAATGCATGAGCGCGGAAGAGCTGGGCAAGGTCGCCATCGCATGTCCGAATCTAGAGCAACTATGCCTCAACCTATACGAGATCGATCCAGATACTCCAGAAGGTGACTTCCTCGGCCCGAAAACATCTGTACTTTCAGAATCGACAGAATTCGAGAAGGCTTTGGGCGCCATTGCAAGCATGAAAGCGCTACGGCTACTACGCTTGACAAACCTGCCGAATTATCGCAAAGCCTACCACCGCCAAGGAGAGTTCATGCGCTTCTTTCGCCGATCACTTGAGAGCGGAGAGCAGCGCTACGCGTTCCAAGCCCGAGCAGACAGCATCGTACGATACATGGGCGATCGGGAATCGAATATCAGGCTCCTCGCGTTCTCTCCCATGGAATCACTGACAAAAGCTGCCACGGCGGACAAGAACGGCCATGTCTGGCCCCGCTATTTCTACTCCTGCGAACGGATGAAGAGCAGTCGAGGTGCGGAGGTATCGATCGCGAGGGCGGTGAGGGACTGGAAGGCGGAGATGCCGGAGGCTACCATACTAAACGAGGGATGAGTTCGATCATCCTGGAGCCTACATTGGCCTTGGTTCTACTACTTTGCATGTTTTCATCTCAATGTAAGCTACAGATCTGTTCAGGATTTTCCGGGTATGAGGCGATGCAGCGACGAGCTTGCGCATACGCATGCAGTGTACCGTAGTCGTGAGAGACGATCCAAGTCAAACACCTTCGCAATGTCAAATGCGCTCGAATGCATCACGATAGCTATCAAGAACATTGCGCGTCAGTGTATCCCATTCGCCCGTGTCGTACCTCTTCTGATCTGTGGCTGCAGGTGGCGTTGCCTGTTGCCTGATGCCTGGAGTGAAACTGGTCTAGCGTAATGCATTAAGGCAAGTACAACTGCGTAATTCCCTGATGAACATCCCGCCTGCCTGTCCAGCTTCCCCCACCACCCCGCCACTCGCATTATCATTATGGCAAACCTCCTTGCACTACCAGCAGAGATATTGCGCACAGTTCTGATACACGCCGTCGACGTCCGAGGTCTCAAGCGAGGGTTACGATTGAGGCTGGTGAACAGTATGCAACAGCAATTAACGCGCAGCTGTAGTGCCGCCTGCTAATTCTTCGGCAGAGGAGTTCTCTCAACAAGTGAAGGATGCGCTCCAAGAATCCGAGCTACTGGACGACGTACATGGATATCGCTTTGGCTTCTCCCACTCGCCCGAGTTTGTCGCCTTTTGGCAGACATTCCTCACCAACAAGATCATAGGGAAGAAATGGGCCCATGTTGAGATATGCAAACGCATATATCGCGCCGCCGAGCGTCTCCGCCGGATTAGCCATCCCCAGGAAACTAACGAGAAAACACTGCACAAGATCTTGCGACAATACATCTATGCCTTCTGTTGCAATCCAGTGCGCATATTGTCGAGAGCACGTTCTAAAGACCCAATTCAGTGTCGGATGTACGATCAAGCATGCCTTCTGGAGATGGCCATACTCAACGAGTGTCCAGAGGGAGTAAATTCTCTGCTCAATGACCCCGCCTTGGACGAGATCATATCGCATTCTCTCAATCCCTGGTCCAATCCGTGTGGGACGCGTGAAAATGGACGATTTACAATAGACTGTAAACAGGACCTTGCCTCTCTTGCCGCTAAGAACGGGAACACGGCGTTACTCGAACGGGTTTTCCTGCATCCGAGTTTCCAACAACAGTCAATACATCATCGACATGAAGCCCTTGATGCTGCATTGAGAGGGGGCCATTTGGACGTAGTAAGGTTCATCATGGAGCCGCGTTGGGACTTGCCCGAAAAAGGGTCATATCGCACTTACAGTTTGAATGAGTATGCACTGCTGTCCGGAGTCTTCAAAAGTCCATCGGCCGATTTCGTCACTCAGCTCTTTGGCCTGATAGCCTCTCGTCCGATGAAAAACCATGGTATCGAAGCCGTATACCCTGGACACGACACAATCTTGTGCCTCGTCGCACGAAAGAGCCCGCAAAGAGTCGATGTGGCAGAACGGCTTCTCGAGCAAGGGGCTTCACTTAAACAGAAGGCGCATGTCAAGAGACGAGGAGCTGAAGCCTCCTACACTGGTTCTGACAGTCCGCTTGAACAAGCCATCAAAGGTGGCAACGAGAAAATCCTTCGCCTGCTTCTGAATCGTGGTGCAGATGCCAGGGTCCTTGACAACGATACTTTGGAAGTAGCTGTAAAACGAGGGCGTCTGGATATAGTGCGCATGCTGGTAGAGAACGGTACGCGTGTCACACCGCGGCTCCCATCGAGTGGTCGCAAGGAGCACTGGAGGTGGACAGAAGACAGGCTGATGGCGCACGCCGTGCTTACGGAGAACGAGGCACTGTGCCGATACCTGGTCGAACGTGGAGCCATCATCAATGAACATGCCTTGTGGGCGGCTGCCGATGCATCGCTGGTATCAATGGTTCGATTTCTGGTCGACGTTGGGGCCGAGATCAATGAGCAGATGATCGAACGCGCGAAACGTTACAGTCATCCGGACGTTGCGATCATACTGCAAGCCCATCACAACAGCACCTAAAGTTATCAACCTCCTTCCAGAAGCGCGTTCATCCGCTTCCACTCCCATCCACATCTCGCCGCGCCCGTGCCTCCGGCAAATCAACCGACCAAGCGAGAAACCGAAAAACGCACGCCCACCCCAGGAAACTTCCGCGTGCCAAAGGACCTACATCGGGCGCCGAACCCTGCTGCCGATTCAAAATTCAATAGCCCATCAACAAGACCATCAAGACGCGTCGCGCGCACAGAAGTCCCTGCACAGCTTGTTCAACTCAAAAGATTTCTCAACACGTAACTTTGGCGAAGAAAGCTATCGAACAATAATTGATTTGCGCAGGGCGGTGAGAAGAGAGAAGAGGCACCAGGCGCGCAATGCCCATGCATGTCCAGGTGCGCATATGTAATCGTCAGATCTGACATGTTAGCACCGACCGTGTCCGAGGTATGGAACTGGGAACGACGCTGTTGGATACGTGCTGTCAGCGAGATTCGAGAAGAGATGCGAACATGGGAGTATCCTGGTATGTCTTATGAGCCGCATGGTCCTGGTCAGAAATTGAGCATCGTGGTCACGAGGCCTAATGTAGATTTGACAATACGACGTATCCCTCCATCGTGGCGCTCGAACCTTGACATGCGCCTTTTCACCCAGCCAACATACGTGACGGTGACGTTTTCCATCGCGCATCACGCGCTAGATGGCGGGATAGACGTTTACTACCGTGGTGGTCTGTTACGGCTGTTGTTTCTCCTCTAGCCAACTAACCGCACACACGCGTATCTCCAATTCAACTATATCTCCCACCTTCCGTCTCCATCTCCCATAGCACGTCACCCACTCACCCTCCCATCACCCTTTCTCATCTCCCATCCCACTCCATGCAATACCTTCATAATCACCCATCCATCTCCTTAGCATAGAGCCCGTTCCGCTTTACGCCCACCTCCGAAGCTAAGACGCGGCTGTTTCATGATTATCCCTGACCTGCTGGCACACACACGGCACTAGCAGAAAGGACAGACCCATGAGGGTCCCTGCGTCAAATTGATCAATGGAAACTGACTCACGTACTAACGACGTTTGTTTCGAAACTAGCTAGGGTAAGGCGACAGGCTGTAGCGAGTGATTGAGTGGGTACTTACCTTGGTATATCGTGATGGGATGCGGAAAAGTGACGGAGCTAGTGGTGTACTGGGATAAATTGATGGATGAAGACTGCGGTGGCATCCTGGTGGTGATCTTGGGAAGATCGCAACGAGCAGGAGCGGAGAGCGCGCATTTCTTGTCCGTAGAGTTTCGACCGAGAGCAAAGGACAATGTTGAGATCTACGATTTTGCACTCGTGCAGGCATGTTGATACAAGAGATCAACAATGTGCAGGTCCGCGGAGGAGGGGGTTTGGGATGACGAAATGATAAACATGATGGACAGGAGAAGTCGTGGGTATGGTGAATATCGCAATCACTTTATTTCGAGATAGCGCACGTCATTGCTATTGTCGCGTGCGTGTGTGGTGTGGAGAACAGGGGGCGGGGCATGATTGGCATTGCATACATACGTGTAGTCTCACGTGTGCGGTGTGAGGTTGAATCCGGTGGTCTTGGTATACCTAGGTACCGGGGGGCTAGACTGTCTCGGTGTCTTTTCTGCGCATTCGTTGTCTGAGGTACATGTATGAAGCACACCGACTTGCAAGACTAGAAAATACGATGTGTTGTCGTCCAATAGAATTTCCGCAGTCTAGTTAGTTGGAACTAAGGTATTGTCGCGTGTCACCAATCAACGCATGCAAACCACGTAAGTCACGACACCGAAACCATCATAGTTGAAAAATCTGTTGCAAAAATTGAACATTCTTATTGTGGCAGCTAGGGTAAAGTGCGTCACTGTGCGTGAGCGCTACTCCGATTCAACTGTTGTCCTGCCTCTCTCCGTCGCCGATCCACTAGACATTTGCGCGTGCTTAACAGAATTAACACACAATTCTCAACAAATCGAAAAAGGTATTTCCTCCACATTCGGGATATGCCAAAACAAGAACCAAAAAAAAGATCCACCGCCTCAAAAAGGAGTCTCGGTTTCAGTGGCGAAGTAGAAAGAGAGAGAAAAAAAGGAAAGTAAGAAAAGTGAGAATGGTCATGAGACATGGTGTGTTTCAAGACGGCCTCAGCCACGCATAGCAAAACAGTTGCTTTGCCGAAAATGCCCATCATCCTTGAACTCATATGAACATAATCTCCAGAATAGACTCAAACTCAAGGTTTGAGAAGATGGTAAAAGGAAACAACATATGGAAATGGCGGTGCGTGCGTGTGTCTGGGTATAACCCTGCGGGTCCAAAATTAGACCGCTGGCGCTTTTTACAAAGACGTATTGAAATGAAACAGTGCGAATACGAAGGGGTAATAAGTTGCAGTATTGAAAGCGAACCTGCATGGCTGAAGGATAATAGTGGTAAAGCGAGAGTGATGTTGCGCCGTAAAGATGAGAATAAGTTGCAAGTTTGTCGCTGAAATAGTAATTATCGAGATCAAAGCCGAGGCCGGGTATCATCATGAGTGAAATAGATCCCAAGCTCTTGCGCACAGTCCAATGAATTCTTCCTTCTTCTTGAGTTGAGTTTCTGGTGAGTCCCGTCCGGCTCCGAAGGGGCCGAGACGAGGTTGTTGGCGACCCAGCGGCGGGGTACCGTTGTCTTGTTCGTATTCGTCGCGGCCGCGTCTCCGTGAGCTGCCACTGCGGTGCAGATCAGGCCGCGATGGGTAGGCTGATTGTCCGTTCTTGGGCATTGGCGACGGGGGTGTTGGGGGCTGGTGGCCGCCGTAGTGGACTAGACGGGGCAGGAGATCTTCACGGCCCCCAGATAGTTGTTGAACAGCCTCCTCTGCGGACTTGTACTCGCGGGGCCTTGAGGTTGGGGGCGGCTGTGTGAACTGTGGGGGCGGAAAGCTCGGTGAGGGCATTGGGGGCTGCACGTTGGAATGCGATGAGTGTC